CACTGCCCATAACTTTGATGTCATGGGCCAGACAGATAAGCCAAGGATGGAGCCTGGATGGTGCTATTGGAGGGACTTGGTGGAGAGTGTGGTGAGGGTACTGAAGTTGAGCAGTGGGGACACTGGCCTTCTGCTCAGAGCAGGGGAATGAGGGGTGTTTGGCCTGGATGGTCACGCCTGTTGGTCTAGGCTCCCTGGTCTTATTTATGAGGGATCCTGGGAAGGACATGCCCTCCTCCTCTTCTTCCAGACGGGGGCTGTCCCTAGAGGCCAGCCAGGCTGGGTGGTGCCAGCAGGACCTGAGCCAGCCTGCAGGATCCATTTGGTCACTCAGCAAGGTGGGGGCACTTGCCTGCTGTCTCCGTTCATCCTGGCTCAGTCTTTGCATGGATTCTAGGATGGGAGGTCCCCACACCTCTCCCTGCAAGGCTTACTCATCTAGCATGTGCTCCAGGCATGGCCAGCTGCCCATTGTCCACAGTGTCCCACCAGCACATGGATGGTCCCTCGTGGCCCTGATCCAGGCGGAATTGGTTTACTCCAAGAAGGATGGAACTGTCCCGGGGGATGGGAGCTGATGGGAATTGGGAGGTGGGACTAATGCAGAAGGAATGGGGCTGATCCAGGACAGTGGGGCTGTTTCAGGGAATATGGAGCTGATCCAGGGAGGTTGGGACTGATGGGGTGGGGCGTGGGGCTGATCCAGGGGGCATGGAACTGCTTCCGAGGGCGTTGGGGTGGTCCGAGAAGGGATGAGGCTGCTCCATGGGGCTAAACTAGGGTGAGCGGGGCTGTTTCAGGGGGCAGTTGCTTCAGAAAGGGTGGGCTGGTCTAGGGGGATGGAACTGCTTCAGGAGGATGGGGTTGATCCCAAGGACATTTCTATCATCGAGCAGAGCCGTTTCCAGGCCTTCTGGAGAGGAAGCTGCCTCCCAAAGAAGGGCAACCCCTCTTCACGCCCCTAGTCCAAAGCCCAACCTCATCTTAGTCCAGTTCCTTCTCCCACTGGCCTGTGCCCTAGGGGTGATCTTAGACCCCAGAGAACTGAGCCTCTTCCTTTTTTGAAATCACAGAGTGCTAGGGGCCCAGTTCTGCGATCAGGGGTGTGTGTGTGTGTGTGTGTGTGTGTGTGTGTGTGTGTGTGTGACTGTGTGTGAGACACTGGAGACCTGGGAAGGCTGGGCAGTGTTTCATGGGGGGAGGGTGTTTGTTTGTGGTGGGGGGTGGGGAGAATCTGTGCACAAGCAGCCTGGAAAGGCGTGTGTGCACCTGGGACAGCAGGTGACGCTTCCTTACCCAGAATATATTACTTTTTCAGTGGAAGAACTCTCAGTCAGGATTTTGTTAAAAACCCCCAATACCTTTTATACAATTGTAAAATGCTTTGTTTTAATAAGTGTACGTTGCTTGTACAGAACGTCTTTATTTTGGTTTTTAAAAAAGAGAAAGTTCTAACTAAAAATAACGAGGAGGGATTTTCACCCAGAGTGGCTCCCTGGGGGCTGAAAAAAGGCTGTGACTTATTTTT